TCATCTAATAACTGGACTATCGCACAGCAAGGTTTATCACGAAAACTGTACTTATGAGGCTTAAAAAAAACTCATGCATTTCAAACAAAATTTGCGGTCCTCACATGGTGATTAGCTTTATTGTATAGGGCTAACCGTTTGATTTGGCTTAGCAAGGCTGGTAATACAGTTACTTCCTCAGTACTGCCAGACACAGATTCAAGTTTAGTGTCACAAAATCCAGTATCAGTTGCTTTCCAACTTGCCACGTTGTCAGGGCTCCCGCATAATAATTCGAGAATATCCGACTCACACTTCCATTTCAGATAAAAAGGAAAAAAATGCTGTTCCGTAACGGTGGATTTTATACGAGCAGTAAGTTGGACGGGTAAAATCGATCCAAGTGTGATTAAATTCACGGCTTATGGTGAGCCTAGTAGCTCGATGGTAGAGCGTTGGCTGCGCAAAAGCCTTCCCTGCTGTGTGGGTTCAAGTCCCACCGAGACCGCGAGTGTTTTCACAATTGGGTCAACTGATCTTCTGGTAGCTAAGTAGTTCCGTTCGTATTTACCTTTGTATGTCAATTGATTGACCTTGTAAGGGGAATTTTAGTAGCTAATTGATAAGGCACACTGACGAAAAGGAACGAGACTGCAGCGGTTGGTTCTGAATTTTTTTTCTGCCCTACTCCATTAATATCTCAACGCTAGACCGTGAATTCCAAGGTTAAAAACTGTGTTTAGTTGGTCATCAAACCAGATACTCCACCTCTTAGGTCAGGCCTCATACCTAGTTGGCAGCGATTAACAAAATGCAAGTTCACAGGGAAGTAATATCCGTTGATATATACTGATTTCAATGAGTCTTTAAGCAATGCTGGCTTAGTTAAGAGATCCAGACATCAGTCTTTTAAAGTGGTCATATGGCCAAGAACAACCAGAAGTCGAGAAGTTGTATGCCGCAAGGTAGGCGAAATTCACAGAGTTCTTAGTAGTAGACCATTATAGGTAACAACACGGAAACCAAAACCCTAGATGCCCGTAAAATGGGACCGGTGGGGATTGGAGTTATACGGGTGAGGCATTACGGGGGCGCAAGAGAGAAAATAAAAGGAAGATAGCAAAAAAACAGAAATAGTAGATAAAATTATCATAAATAGCTAAAACGTAGCAAAGAAAAATGCACACGATAATTAAAAAAATAAATTTACATGACAAATTTAATAAACTCAATTAATAAAATAATAATTAAAAACACTTGCCATTAACACTGCTCAGGTATTACAGAATTGTGGGGCTTCGGTTCCTGTGGTTACTGCTACCGAGCCCTTAGTTTATTTGCCACTAACAGGCAGTCAATGTCTGATTCCATGTGGGCTTTGGACATCGAGCATGACGTGCCACAGTTTGAAACAAGGGATCACCTTCTATTGCCTGCTATGAGTAAAAGTCAACGTCATATGGCAGCAACGTTCCTCTGTCGCCTTGTTGGCCGTCATATTATTCAAAAAGACACCTAACGTTCCTTAATTCGCTGGAGTATTCCTTATACACATCTGAATTAGAAAATTACTTGTCCCGGATTGACCCAGGCATGATGCCTCTGAACCTTCTACGTTTGGAATCAGCGAGTACAATAACTCTACATCATTTGAAGCAATATACTTTACAGTTAAAAAAAGAAAGCTGGCATTTGTCTCCTGAACCATACACATCAATAGAACAGACCAGTAACGCGTTCTTAACCTGTTTAACAAACTCCGCAGTAAAATCGAAACCATGGACACGCGGCCCTCTAGCCTGTTTGGAATTTTAGGTTCGGTGTATGCAGTATCGTCAGAAACTCAGTTACCCCTGAGGAAATTCATTTAATACGTTTTGACAGAAAACGCAATTTGATTCGTTCTTCTGGCTACTTATGCTGAAATAGAAGCAAAATCTGAAGCGCACGCCGCAGGGACAATAGCTTTTAAGGAAACAATTCTTTGCGCAAGTTGTTATAAACTTAAATCAGAAAGTATCTGCCTACTCTACTGGATTGCAGTGCTTGCACAAAGGAAATCGAGCAAATGACATAAAATTCGGAGCACGGAGTTAGCAACGGTTGTTCAACTGTGCTCCGGGACACTTGTATTCGAAACATGTAGATTCCAAATGTATTTATTCATTCGCCATAACAATTGTTTGTTTTCGCCCTCCTTAGATTTCGCTTAAAAGTACTTAAAGTAGACACTGGAAATGTAGGAGTTTGCTGGGTCATCTGTGCTGCGGCGACAGCAAGCAGGAGTCAGGCCAGGGGATTTCAGTGGCGCTGCTCTTTTTCCCGACCAAATACACTCTTCTGCCTCCGGTTCGCATTGCCTATAAATAATAAGGTTCTGTTGGTGAGGATAGAACCACGCCGGCAAATAC